TAGCGGAATTCCAGGTGGCCGTCCTGCAGCGCCAGTGACACAAAGTCGCCCCTGCCGTCGGTCTTCTGCCCGTTGTAGAGGATCAAGCCGCTGGGGCCCCGGGCCAGGAACACCACCTCCAGGGCCAGCTTCTCCCTGGGGCCACACTGAGTCAGTGCTGGCCGGCAGGTGGCCGCCCCTGCCCCAGCCCGGGTCCTACTGACCCCAGGTCGCGGTCGAAGGTGTGCAGGCCCTTCAGCTCCAGGAAGGAGAAGCCACTGAAGTCAGCCAGTAAGGGCCGGGGACCATCCTGCACCGAGACTGTGGGGGACAGAGGGCTCGCACAGTTCCAGGCCCCGCCCACCACACCCCCTGCCCACCACACCTTGTCCCTGCCCCTTGGTGGGCCCTGGACTAACTCAAGCCATGATGCGGCCCGCACCCCACTTCTAACCCACCAGTGCCCAGCCCAGGTGCCTGGCCCCCCATGCTTAAGCCAGTGGCTCACCCGTCTGGCAGAGAGGGCCCCCTCGCCCTGGGGGGCACTCGCACTTGGCCTCGCCCTCAGGCAGCACATGGCACGGGGCGGCCCCATGGCAGGGGTTTGGCTCACAGGGACTCTTCTCCTCAGCACAGGTGGGGCCTGGAGGGGATGGGATGAGCCCCAGCTACAGGCGCCCCCACCCCGGCCAGGCCCCCGCCCCGGCCAGGCCCCCTCTCACCGAAGCGGGTAGGTGGGCACTGGCAATGGAACTGGCCGGCCTCCAGGGCCTGGCACGGGGCCCCGCCACGGCAGGGGCTGGGCAGGCAGGGGTGGTCCCCGCACGTGCCCACGCCAGAGCTCCGGGTGGCAGCCCCCGGCCAGCTGCCCAGCTCCAGCTGCCGGTTGTTCACGTCCAGCAGGCGGATGCAGCCCCTGAGACCAGTGCTGACTGAGGTCTGCTCGCGCACCCTGCCCAAGATAAAGGCCAGGGGCCAGAGGTCAGAGGCCGCCTCCCTCACCCCCAGGCGGCCATCTCTGGGGCCGCACTGCTCCCGCCATGGCCCTCGGAGGGGGTGGCCCGTCTCGAGCGGCAGACAGAAGGAGGCAGGGGTGGGCCGGGCGAAGGCTTGGGACTGAGAGTTGGGGCCGCCCCGGCCCCTCAGGTGCCCCACGCCACTCCAGGGGCTGGGGTTGGGGTGGAGGTCAGTCACAGTCCCCGCCATGCAGCCACCTCCTCCAGGCCGCCCGCCACGTCAGGGCACCGGGGTCTGGGGCTCACACGGAAGCCAGGTCCTGCGGCACGCCTCCCACGAACAGGTCTGTGTCCAGGTTGAGGCCGTCAGTGCCGCTGGGGCTCTCGCCCAGCACTGGGCTCTCGCCGTCCACTGACAGTGAGCCCTGGCGCCAGTGCCGGGACAGCTCCAGGCGGTGCCACCGTCCCGGCTCCACGGGCACGGTGCTGGTCAGCACCGCGGGCCCCGAGCCTGTGTCAAACCTGCAGGACAGGAGCTGGCACTCAGGATAGGGCAGGGGGCAGGCAGGGTCCACAGGCGCCCTCCCTGCCCCGCCCCTCCCCTGAACTAGGCCTGAGCTCAGGCCCTGAGCTGCGGCCGGCCCATCCCTGCCTAGGCCCCGCCCCACCCGACCTGCTAGGGCTTGGCCCCGCCCCCG